GTGTGTGTGTGTGTGTGTGTGTGTGTGTGTAGTTATATAGTTATATAGTTATATATATAATCTAGATTAGAAGCAATCAATATGATGGAAGCCAGTGATAGCGATGACCCAGTGTCAGCCAGTGTAGCCAGTGTTGGGCATTCAAGGTCGCAGTCACTCAGAGATGTACTTAGCAACCTCAATCCTATGCACAGACATGACACCAGTCCACACAAAAGTGATGATAAAGCTACTGCAACCAGAAGAGCCTCTCACACCAGCTTTGAGCTGGACGTAAGCCTTATAAGTAGCGATGACCAAGATGGCGACGATATGATTAGCCTGGATTCCGGGGACATAGATGCTTTGGACAGTCTGGATATAGGTAGGATTAGTACCGGAGGTCGGTCTGATCGATCAGTGCATAGTCTGGATGTGAGCGGTAGTACTAACCACCTGCACGGTAGGCAGATTGGCGGGGATAGCAGCGTCGACGAGGGTGTGTTAGTCAGGGTATGTGGTTCAGGTAATGAACTCATCGACGGTCGACATACGGTGGATGGCATGGATCCCTTATTTATACCTACAAGTGATACCGAGTGCGCTACTGCCCAGGCAGCCGAGGTGGATGATGTCGCCGGGAATGGATTCGCGTCTGTCACAACGTATGCACAAGCAAGCTATGATAGCGCTAAGAAGAACGAGGATAACACGACAGATATAATAGATGTCCTGGGCACAAGCTTGGACAATGCGATGATTCCTACTATGAGCTATGGGGCCACGAATGGTGCCGATTCTGATAGTGTGTCCGAGCCATTTGCCATAGATAGTTGCCATGGCGACGAGAGCAGTGATACTGGAGAGGTGGCTGTGTCACATGGGGAGCGTCTCTCACTATACGGTGATAATACGACCGATGATGTCGCTACATTACAGGTAGGATGTGATTGTTGTATGCACGTATTTATCGGTTGGATACCTTATGTCCTGTACTTCAAATGTTTATCCATGTTTGTATTATAAATATGTATAGAAGTATCAATGTGCACATCAATACAATTTTACATCTCTGTATCATTATAAGTGAGTGTGTATGTATATGTATAAATATATGTATATGTGTATGTATACGTATATATATATATATATATATATATATATATATATGTGTGTGTGTGTGTGTGTGTGTGTCTGTGTGTCTATGTCTGTGTCTGTGTCTGTGTCTGTGTCTGTGTCCATGTATGTGTGTGTGTGAGCGTGTATACATAAATGTATATCTTTATATATGTATGTGTGTATCTATATATCTACGCATGGAAGTATATATGTATGTTTGTATTTGTGTTTATGTATGTATGTATGTATGTATGTATGTATATATGTATGTGGGTATGTATGTAGGTATGTATCTATGTACATATATATATAAATATATATGTATATATATATATATATTTGAATGTATACGTGTACATGTACATATATACATATGTGTGCGTGCGTGTTATGTATGAATATCAATTATATATATATATATATATATGCAATATACATATACATATATCTAAATATATATGTATATATATGTGTGTGTGTGTATGTATATATATTTATTATTAT